CTTTCAGCAGCTGCAATAGGAATACAAGTATCAGTGCTTAGGGGTACACACGATATCAACTTTTCAGATAGGAATGCGGTCTTCATGTCCTAGTTTGTCATAGGCTATTCAGGAGTCTATATACTATCCTCGCTTTCGAGCCTTTTTCGTTACGGTTGAAATATTTCTTAAGTTTCCTGACAGCACAATAAACAAATCCCATGATTTGCACGCTGCCTTAATATATTTTATTGAGTTGAAGTACGCACATACAAGAAGCGCCCTTAACTAGACCTGGTCAGTACCATATCTTTATTCACACGAGGAGTATCATTTCCAACCTGTTTGGGTCTACACTTCTTATAATACTTTCAAGAGATCTACCGTAGGTACATACAGCGCTGCTGGATCGATTTGGACCGTGACACCTAGGATACAAGAAAATGTGAGGTAAGAAATGCACTGCAGAAAACCCCTTTGGCATGACTAGGTGACGCACTTGCACGTACGATACATTCATAAATATATGCGCAACGATATCAACAATATTAGAACCATATCAGTGTTACGAATGTTTGCCGATTCTACATTTGCCATATGTACCATCATGTAACTGCTGGATAACAAATATAGCCAAAAGAAGTAAGTGAATCAATGTGCACGACATCATGACAACAAAATTAAGTAAATCAATATACACACGCGTCAATTTAGGCACTCTGACTATTTTTCTCAACTAAGGAAAAAGATTTCCAGAGGCGGACTTGAACCGCCGACCTGCTGCGTGTTAAGCAGCCGTCATAACCAGCTAGACCATCCGGAGACGAAATATTTACAGAAAAGTATGATATATCTCAAGAAAAAACAATTGGAACCGCCAACTGCCTTATGTTTGTAAACGAAATAAGATCTCGTAAGGTGATTTTTACTTGGAAGGTATTCTACTCAGTAAATATGGATTTACAACCTGCGGAAATCGGCAAATCGCACGACCTTCGTGTGATGCCTATAATAGTGGTATGTGAATATGCTTCACACTATGTAGCATTCAAAGCGCTCCGAAGCTAAATCCGGTAGAATTTCACAGTTGAAATTGGGTCAAATCATAAATCCTGAGTAGCTAATAGATGACCGTTGATAGTGATTTGCAAATAGGCACTTATGCTCGAGAACCACCCTCATCACGCTAAAATATATTGAGCACGGAAGCTTACTGACATACTCTATTGGTAAGCATACTGCAATGTTAACTGCGAGGAACCACTGACTTATTTTATCAGCCCAAGCTACAAGAAGGCCTATAGCTCTGGTAGCAAATAAACAAACATATATCGTATTCGCATACAATCGGGTTGAAGTGATGCTGATATTCTTGGTCGGCATAAGATTGATTTTAGCCTATTGCGAATATTAAGTAGAAGCACCATAAATCAAATGCGTTTCTGACATCTGCATTTTGTAGACTCTGGCTACCTGTCCAATCACCAACATGGCCAGGTATCATCCTGGATACATGCAGCTGCAAACCTATACCTAGAAAGTCGATCCCATATGCTTGCAATCGCGCTGCACCCAACGCGTCATTGATTGTCATCAGTAAACCATCGCTGCTAGAATCGCTATCTGGAACACAAGCCATAGTAGATGGCCATGGAAAAAACGTAAATCTAACCGCCTTGATATTACTCAAGCGCATCAATCCAGCGAGGCCTACCATATCTGAATATTCCGCAAAAATATCGACGTTGTGTTGTAAATCAGTGGGCTAAATTTACCAATATAGTCCCGAGCAATAAAAAAATACAGCATGTCTACACATGTACAAGATCGAGGCTTCTACGGACAACAGGGTGATAGCGGCCAAGCACTATGAACGAAATTCATGAATTCACTAAATTTTTGACTTGGAATCGGCTCCAAGAGACCTGCTGATTTAATAGTTAGATCCTCCGCAAGCAGATACAACGATAACTACTTAAAGGGGTTACTCATCGACGACTTTAACATACGGTGTGATTGGGGCTGAATAGCGTACAGCTACAAAAAAGGTAACTGGCCGCAATCGATGTAATCGTGTATATCCAGCCCTTTCGGTCAACTATTGAAGATCCATATAATGTGACTCACAATATATAGGTGTACCGTGGTACTGGTTCCACTATCCCAATCAACTAAAAGAATGCTATTCGTATGTTTTTCACTCATTTGGATGCCTCAGCTCGCTAGAAATGAATACACGCAGAGGAGGAATTACCAGATGCAGAATCCTATATTATTAGTACACTTGTAGTTGTACTTTCGAATATTGTGGCCGACAACCACTTTTTAGGGCCCGGAACGATACTAACCTCAGTATGCGACTCGCTCTTCTCACCCTTGCACATCAGGAATGCCATTGGAACTCGTGTCTATACTTGCGATCGGTATAAGTGTACTGGCGGGAGTGGCGGCTTTTTACACTCGATTTAGGGAGTGCAGCATCAATATTATGCACAAAACAATACCATCTCACTTAGTGAAGTACACTGCTCAGACTTGCTTAGGGTAAACAGAGTAGTGCACACCCTACCTTCGCAGATTACGTGAATTCAAACACCGTTTTGTTCGCGAACCTACTGATTTATTTACGTTATTTCCCTTTATTCCGGTCCAAACACCATAATACCTTAAAAGTTGGCCAAATGCGAAATCGCCTTCTTTTTTACATGCACTTTTCCATATTTGGGTATTTACCGTTTGCGTGAAAGAAAATGTGTGTTGTCTGAAACCCTTTTTTTAAAGATACTGTCCCGATTGACACAAGGATGCATTGTTCGTCTCTCTCATGTTGTGCGTGTAACTGCTGGAGTATATCATCAGCGGATGCCTTCTGTCCATCGTGCCTGACACCCCGCGTGGGCAGCTTCGGTATCTTCAAAACAGGCTTTAGCGTTTTCGTAAACCCAAATATTACCGGTCGTCCAGCGTAGTCTTTTCGCGATATTGCACACCTCCTTCGCCAGCCTCGTACAGTGCTTACATTACACCCCAATATGTCAGCTACATTCCAGTGTTTGATGCTCGTGTCGTACAGAATGCCTTTTGCAATTTCAGATGAAACCATATATATGCCTATGTATACTTTCCTTTAAGATACTTATCGTGTTTTTCAATAAGTTAGACGTTTACGTTTTTTAACGTTTAAGCATGTTCTACTAGTTTGTACCAAATTTTAACAGATTTGTGACCCGTTTCTGACATATTTGGACCCCACAAACGCATAGATGAGAAACATGTTAGAACGTGTCTGAACGTGTCTGGACTTGTCCCGTCATGGCAGTAACTCGTTAGATGATCTAAAGTGTTCGGACATTTTAATAAATAATTTAATATTAATACATTACTAAAATAATTTTAACAAACGATTGCTCTGAGGTTATAACATATGTCACCCAAGAATATGAATAATAAGCAGCCGGCTCTCCCTAACACTAAATAATTTTTACATGAATATGACGAAGCCGTAAAAGAAGACGAGCTGTATGTGGAAATACGACATAAATAAACTGTGACTTTTTTTACTGATCGCCAACCAATACGGCGACTCAGACACACCTAGCGACGAGAAAAACATCCTTATAGGGGCTACTCTCTCGAAAGCTTTCATGCTAAATGATTGCCTCATCGCAATCGACCAGGAACGCATACACTAGAAAAAGAAATCAGATCGCAATACGATCCAACAAGGATGTAAGACACACTTCCAATTTGCAGTACCCAAACCCAGTGTCAAAGCTAACACACAGAGAAAAATGGACTCTGTTATGACAAAGTTTTGCACAGTGTATGGGCGCGGCTACCTCTATGAATTTTGCACACTAGCCCACGATTGGCTTCCCATGCGATCCCGGACACACTGAAGGTCTGTGTTGATTCTTTGGTAATATTTTGAATCACCTGATCCATTGATATTTGTCGCCATTCAACGCGTTGTAGCACTAGGGTGAAGGCAGCTATCGCCTTTTGCAATACAACACGATACTCATTTACCCTAGACAGATTAGCACCAGTTTGCTTATGTCTAGACCGCTGACAGTACGAAACAATCGCAGCAGTTATAATCGCGAATGTAACAAAAGTTATCACTTTCATATCCAGAATCATTTGTGCTGAGCTTAGATTGATTTCCATCATAGACGATGGTACATGAATGTCTTGAATATTCTTGTAACGGTTCAATTTCTCGATTCGCATCCTGTAAGTCAAGCATGTATGACAATAGACGACATGTCGCAACGTTGCTGTACGTATACTTGCCTTCCACATCGAGCGTCGTTACTTTTATTGCGTATGGTGTCCGCAACATCTGGCTGCATCCATACACCGACCAGTCTACAATGTCGCTCACTCCCTTGACGTCCCTGTGTGCCAGAAGTGTTTTAATGCCTGTTACGTAGTCCTCTAATTCCGCCATAAACGGAAATACGTGTCTGTGGTAAATGACGGGAAAGCTGATTTCCCTGGCCTAGACGCAGTCAGCGTTGTCGCGTCTTGATATTTGTCACTTTCGTCCCCATATACAGAAGTGCAGTATCTTGACCTGGCGCATCCAGAATTTAATAGCAAACTGGCGCCGTTGTCTGTCGCATCGCCACGCATATCCAAATCGTGGTATTCGCGGACAGAAACATGTGGCAGAATCAGTTCACACGGCGAGAAGTCCGGTCTCCAGTACATATGTGTCAGATACGTAGCGGCATCGCAAAAGAGTAATACTCTGGGATACATATGGAACTCGATCACATAGCGATAGCCATGTTTTTTGGCCACGTACTCGACAAACAATTTTTGGTTCCCATTGTATGTCACACAAGATGGAAAGCCCTCTACCTCACCACATACTTCCTCACTATTTGTGCATAAACACTTAGCGTGTTGTGCTCCCACTTCACCCCGAACTACAGGAACTCTGGATAGTTACTCTGGGATACATATGGAACTCGATCACAAAAAAAATATAGATGTTCGGTACTAACATAAATTCAATCACTAAATTACTATTTTTATTGCTTTAAAGCTACTACATAAAGGGGGGGGGGTTTGTGTGTGTCAAATCATTGAAATCAAGGTAGTCCCGTTTTGTTCCTACCACTCCGCAACTCCTTCTTCGGATTTGGTAATGGTAGCTCTGGAGACGAAGGCTCCCAAATGAGAAGCTCAGGTCTTGACTGTTGTGTAATTGGACAGGAAAGGAAAATAACTATTTGTTTCAGAGCGAGTAATAGCTGTAGATAGCAGGGATATGAAATAAGACAATAATTCATTGCATCTCCAAAAGGTACTCACAAAACAATGAAACCCAGCGAATCGATTTTATCGGCGAATAGGACAAAAAAACGGAACCAGGGAGCAGCTGTTAATGAATCGGTCGTTACTCAGGACTATGTGCGGAATTGCACCGTACACCGTTATTATGATGCATCATCCTTTTTAATTTGGCAGATATACAAGGACGAACCATACGAACATGCCGAGCCACTCAGAAACAAACACAACACACACATGCACAACTTTGCAACCAGTTCTATAACGAAACAAAAAAACATACGACGACGTTGACTTGTGCAAGGTTTTTCTTAATGCACCCCTAAATCTTCTGGTAACCTACTTGGAGAACTAGATACAAACGTAACGGCGGTCAGATGCACGCTGGAAATTCACTACATATACTAAACGGGAAAAACATGATACGAATAAACTTCGAAATGACCTACAATGATAAGACAAGGAAGCCGGTTGGAATATTCCAACAAATATACGAATAGATATGCCCGTTGACCCTCAAGGATGTATGAACTGACTCTTTTGCCATGTTTTAAACAAAAACCTCCATTATAACTAGATACTACACACTACAACCACTAGAATACTCCAAACTAACTTACGGCTAGATGATATACAATGATCCGACAGTCAAACTCAAACGCCTAGTACCTTGCACTGACCATTCGATTGATGAAAACCTGCAGTTGGCAAATGCTTATATCATTGTAGAATATAACGACGTGGGAAACATTGACGTATCACCAATTGAAATGTGATAGTGTATTAAATACTTACCGGAAACTGGGAGATTCGCCTCGGTTTCTTACGCACATCCTTATATTTTTTGACGGTGCGCGGTCTTTGGTTGTCAAGCAGGCAATTAAGTCCTTGTGCAATCAAGTACCACATCAAGCAGGCAACCACAACATACTGTAGTGTAGTACTCATCAGTATGTGTAATATAGGATCCAGTATTGGTAGCAGCCATTCTGTGATCGAATCCAACATAGCACTATTCTAACCGTTCAAATCACTACAGCAGGACGGTAAGATAGTATGGAATCGCGTCGGCCCTGTGCATGTGGCCGTTACTTGGCCGTGTGCTGCTGACTTATGATTCACTGTATGTATACGTCTATTAGCGAAGTCGCCAAAATCAGTTGATACTCGTATGTCTCTCACTTTTGAAATGTACTTCCAGCATAAGGTGATTCACATCCGCAGTAGCATAGTAGAAATTCTGAAAGCGAGTGCCTGTGTCGAGACTTCTTGAGCGGCAGTGCTATTTATTTTTTACCTTATTATTTGTACTACATAATGCACACATAAAAATAGTCGCCCTTTTATATTAGATAATGAGAGACCGCCAAAATCCAATAAAAAATATAGAAAAATAGAATTCAGAAGAAGCTATTTACAAGCCTACAAGTGATTTTAAATTATTTTATTTTTATTGACTTCCCGACTCCAGTAGCCTCGTTCAGAAAATGGGGGGGGTTTTATTATTAAAAAGAAGTAAATGTTTCGAAAAACATATAGGCTATGCATGACTTGTATTTATTCGTATATTACTATAGTCAATACACGGTAAGAGCTACGTGTATATACATACATACACACTGATCGAATCAAACTTGCAGTAAGGCCATGAGAGATCAGTCAGTGAAATGCGATGCCGACTATGGGGAGGACTCCGAAAATAGCCAATCGCCACCTCCACCAGATTCACGAGCGCAAATGAGTATCGTTGACGCAAAAAAAGCCGAACTTCTTATGTTATCGCAACTGCTCGCGCACACATCTGCGCTCAATCAGTCACTGTCGATAACGGAGAAGAATCTGCGAGAGCTTAATGAGGGAATGAAGAGTATGTTCGTGAATTTATACAGCTTTACAGTATATACTCACAAATACAGAAAGTATATTCAAAATAGATATTATACCGATCTACATCAGCCCTTTGCACGCAAACACAGCACCACGCGTATACACACCGCACGCACGTACACACACGCAACGCACACACTCGCAATAAAAAAAACCCCAACACACACATAACCGGACACAGACACACAAAGACAAATAAACGACACAAACACACACACACACAAACGACACATGAACACACACACGCACACACACGCACACTCACACACACACGCACACTCACACACACACTCACAAGCACACACCCACCCACACACACGCACACACGCACACACACACACACACTCACAAGCACACACGCACACACG